CTTTCAGAGTATCAGGATTTGCACTATCCAGCCAATAGACAACAAAATAATGCAAGAAACACAACAGCCAATTTACATATAGCAACAGCCCACAAATAGCAACATACAATGACTAGATCATCTATTTTAATTATATTGGTTGAAGGAAAAATAGTTGTCCAGACCCTGATCTCTTCAAATAGTGGCAATGGGATCTTTTATGTCCACCTGAGATAGCCTTAATTTAACATCTCATCCAAAAGATAGCGCTTCCAACAATGCAGTACACACTCAGCATTGTACCGGATTGTCAGCCGACGTTCTCGTATTCACGATCTCTTGGATAGCGCTTCAGATTCCGACCTCCAGAGCTGGAGGCTAGAAAGCTACCCACTTAACACGTGCTGGCACCAAATAATGTGGAGATGGAATGACTAAGGTTACTAGCATTCTGGTCTTTAAGAAAAATAAAGACACAGGCTTCTACACAGAAATATAGATAAAGAGAAGCTGCAGTGTGGCTTGTGTCTCAAACAGAGGAGACTTTTGGAAAGCTGATGAAGTGTTTCTTATATATTGTATTAGATAATGAGCAGTGTATTAAGTGATATCTTCTAACTCGCACATTAGACTTGTTTAGAATAAAACTGCAGCTTGAGTCTGCTTAACCATATTGTACGTTCATTACTGATCTTCTACCTTACTTCACTTCATTTTCTGGCCCTATCCCCATCTCACTTGAGATAACAAGGTGCAGGGCTGGATGAACACAGCAGGCCAAGCAGCATCATAGGAGCAGAGAGGCTGACGTTTCGGGCCTAGACCCTTCATCAGAAATGCAGTTCCTTGTTATCTCAGATTCTCCAGCATCTGCAGTTCCTACTATCTCTGATTCAATTTTAACCCCATCTCACTTGATTCTGTTTAAGTTTTTTTTACGGGAATAAAGGAAACATATTTTTCTAAATTTCAGACTGTGAGCAGACATTTTCCAAACCCAAGCATAAACGTTTTGAAACCATTCACCAAAATTAACAAGAAAAAAAAAACACCAAAACAATTCTAAAAACAAATCAAGATTGGGAAGCAAGTGATTTGTCGTCAATCTTAGTTCTCCCGTTATTCCTCACCTGAAGCAGGATCGGATGTTCTTGACTGGATGGACTGTTGGCTGGGGTGAGCTGCTTTTTTTAATCAAGGAACTAAGGGACAGAGATTCGTCAGAAAAGCTCAGCAGGTCTGGCAGCATCTGTGGAGAGAAAGCAGAGTAAACGTCTCGGGTATTTGACCCGAAACGTTAACTCTGATTTCTCTTCACAAATGCTGCCAGACCTGCTGAGCTTTTGCAGCAATTTCTGTTTTTGTTTCTAATTTACAGCATTCGCAGATCTTTCGGTTTTTACTGAGAGACTTTCATTGTTCTTTTCGATATGTGGCACAGCCAGTTAGTGAGACTGTGTTGCTGAGCTGCTCCAAATGGAGCAATGATCAGCGGGGTCGTGCCCAATATTTACCTCTTAACCAAACATATCATCTGACCATTATCACACATCTATATGGGGGAGGCTGTGCATAACTTGACTTCCAGATTACAACAATTACTTCCTACATTACAACAGTGACTACACTTCAAACATTTGCTTCACTGGCGTAAAACGCAAAGTCTTGAGGTTGTGAAAGATGATATACCAGTGCAGTCAGTCTCTATACCTTTCTTTGTGAACTAGCACTGATTCTGTCATGTTAAAGTGAAGAATCTAGATTTTCTGACAAAACGCTAGCCCCTGAATATGGAAACAATTTCTTGAATCTGGAATGAAGATGTGTTTCTTGGATATTGTGTTAGGTAATGAGCAGTGTAGCAAGCGACATCTTTCTAATTCGCACGTTAGACTTGTTGAGAAAAAAAACTGCAGCTGTAGGCCGTTTGACCTAGTGTTTTAAAAAAGGAAAAAGTAAGTTGCTTAAAACATCTCTGGATGCTGCCTGACCATGCTGACATACACAACTTATGATATTTGAACATCATGAGAAACACTAACCACACAACCAATGAAGGCGTCATGAGGCACTTCAAATATACATTTCTCACATTACAAACTGTTGAAATGATCCTCACAGTCACAAACTGCCAAAGAGCAGAGACATATTTTGTTACCACATTTAATAAAATTACTACAATGTTACTGTCTCACAAGTGGATTGCAAGCACAGAGCAAATTATTATATCAAGCTCGCAAGATGAAGAAGCCCATTTGCATCATCTCAGGATCCTAACTGTGCTGAGTTGTAGCAATCAATTGTCTCTTAAATATTTCCTGGGCTTTTTTTCCTCTCACAAGAAGTTTACTTACATGTACATTGCCCTGTGTGAAGAAATTCTGCACGTCGGTCACAAAATAATACGCAAGCTACAAACAAATAAAATTTACTACAAGGGGGGAAGGTGGTATTATTGCTAGGCTTTTAATCTGGAGACCCTGGTAATATTCTGGGGACCCAGGTTCATATCCTGCCACATGGAATTTGAATTCGATAAATATCTGGAATTAGGAATCTAATGGCGACCAAGAAACCATTGTCAATTGTCGGAAAAATCTCATCTGATTCACTAATGTCCTTAAGGAAAGGAAATTGCCGTCCTTACCGGGTCTGGCCGACATGTGACTCCAGACCCATAGTAATGGTTGACACTTAACTGCTTTCTGGGTAACATGATGCCCACATCCCGTGAATGAATTTTAAAAAAAACTCCATTTAGCCTGATTTCACAGATTAATTTTAAGTAATATTGTAAATTAATTTTCACTGTATTCTTAACAGTCTCATACAGTTCTATAAGATAATCTCAGGTTCTCCGTTCTTTGAGTGAATAGTCTAGTTTCACACCAAACTCAGAGCTTTGGCAATCATGGCTCTGTTCTGTATTAAATGCACTTGAATAGCTCCACTGTTTCTTTGCAGCCAAAATAAAATGCATCATTCAAGGGATAGGTTGAATAGAGTTCTGAACAAGTTAATCATTACCTTGAGTTACTTTATAGAAAACATTACTATTGGCAAGCTCCTTTTGAAGTGAGTTTGAAACCTATACTGCTCTTTAACTGGAGCTGGCACTGAATCCTGGAAACCCATTCTAATAGCTTTGTGAGTGTACCCGCATCATCGAGATTGCAGTGATGCAAGAAGGCAACTCAATGTCTCCCTCTCAAAAGCAATGAGAGATGGGCATTAACTGTGACCTTGATCTTGTGTTGCACGCTGATACATTCCAAGGTGCAGGACTATGTGCTGAAGGATGCACTAAAGCTTGGGGCAGCTGCCGCCAGGGGAAAGACCACCAGCGGAGATCTTTCTGACAAAGTATAATGAGAGTCTGCTATATTTTGAGATGCCCTTATTGCTTTACCCAGAATACAAATAGTTCCCTTTCACGTTTAGAAAATACATGTTCTGTTGCAACTGGAGTGAAGCTCTACCAAGGAATGTCAAAATTCCACTGTATTTTCTGTAAAGTCTGGATGGACCTGCTTTGTACTTGATGCAAGTTCTGAGGAAGGGTCACCGGACCCGAAACGTTAACTCTGACTCTTTCTTCACAGATGCTGCCAGACCTGCTGAGCTTTTCCACCAATTTCTGTTTTTGTACTTGATGCATTTACTTATAGATAATTTATGAATAAAGCATTTTGTTAAAGTAAAAGCTTTGATGAAAACATCCCCAAGAACACAAAATTCAGAGTTTCTGAATCCAGGACATTTGTGCAACTTAGAAATCTAGGTACCAGAATGCTGTGTCCTTCCCTCCTGAACTGTGACTCAGGTATTTGTGACAGCCTACGGCAAGTAACTCACCTCCTGGCTCCCTAGTCCCTGCCCACCATCTACAAGGCACAAGTCAGGAGTATGTTCCTGGGTGAATGAAGCTCCAACAATGCACAAGAAGCTTGACACAATTCATAACAATGCAGTCCACTTGACTGGCGCCATACTCACAAATATTCACTTCCTCCACCACTGACGCTCAGTAGCAGCAGTGTATACTATCCAGAAGATGCACTGCAGAAATTCACCAGAGCTCCTTAGACAGTGCCTTGCAAACCTACTACCACTTCTATCTAGAAGGACAAGGGCAGCATATACATTGGGAACACCACCAAGTTCCCCACCAAGCCACTCACCAACCTGACTTGGGCCTGTATCACTGTTCCTTCAGAATCAAAACTCCCTTCCCAAATTCATTTGGAGTGTACATTCACCAAATGTGAGGGAAAATATGTTCACCCAAAAGGTGGTGGGAATCTGGAAGTCACCTCCTCTAAGGGTGGGAGAGGCAGAACGTCTCATCACATGAAGAAGTATTTAGATGTGCAGTTGCAATCTCTATAACTTTATGGACTTTAGCTCACCACCACCTTCTCAGGGGCAACTGGGCAAGGGCAATAAATGCTGGCCCAGACAGCAATGCCCACATTCCATACATAAATTTTTAGGGATCCTCCCCTTCGCATCAAGCCTCCGAAAAACATGTAGGTGCCAAACTTACTCCCTCCCTTTATGGTATTGAACTCTGTCATTTACGCTGTGTCCCAGAGAGTAATTCCAAACACTCTCTCAGATCTGGACATACCTGTCCTGGATTAATTTCCCAGAGTTACAAACAAGTACTTAAGGAATAAAAGTAACTGTGCGAGTCTTTCGGGAAGAAAAGAACCTCATTATTTGGAATATTTTGTTCATAAGTGAGCAATGATGACAGCTCCAGGAATAGTTGCAACCATCTTCCGCATTTAAGTCCCGGTTTAGAAATTTCCCGAGTCTGGTACAGCAACGGGGAAAGAAGGGCGTGCATTTGGAAAGCGCCACCGCCGTCCCGGGGCACACAGGAAAATAGTATAAATCACCACGTAGGGGAAAGGGATCAATCCACTATGTGTAACACTGAACACAACCTAGGCAAGTGCATCTCTGTGGCTAACAGTAAGGTTGCTCTGTACAAGATAGCGCTCCACTGCATTTACCTTTAAAGGCAAGGGCTGCCTGAAATATTGACCACAGCAGAAACAGCTGCTTGATCCAAGCCATGTGGAGGGAGATCGACTGGGGCAGCTCAGTCTCTTCTTCCAATCCCAGCTCGGAGTGCTTCCATCCTCAGGGCTCCTCGCTTCGTTCCCCTTTTGAAACAGATCTTTTTAAAGGAGATTTTCACATGAGCATTACACACGGCCGTCCCCGCCAGTCTTACGCTGCGACGGCAGCTCACAAACATCGCGTAACTTTTACTTTCACTTTATGTTGTCTATCTTTAAGAGCACACTCTACTCCCGCGTTGTGAATTTCCTAGAAACCCGATCCTGGAACTAGATGTTGGGGGATTGGCCTGGAACAGACTAAGGAGCAGAGTACATGCCTCTCTCAGCCAGTGTACATGGGAAACTTGCTATTTCCCAGTGGCAATCAGTCAAGAAGCCGTTCGATGCAAAGAAATCGCGTTCGTTACTGGGAAATCAGCAGGGCGTTCGGTTTGGTGTCAGTTTACACGCCAGCCTGGGGGAAAAGTAAAACGACAAATATATGCACACCTGCCAACTGCCTTGTCTGGAATTTCCCTGTTCGGTTTCCTTATGAACAGGCCCTCAAATAAGTGGGATATTCCCCGCCGCATGGTCCATTTCACCTCAAACCTTCCAGCTGGCACGAACCTCCCGTGGTCAGTTCTCTGCTGTCTTCACCCACCCTCACTGAAGCACACTTCTAGGGGCTAAGCCCTTCACCCCTTACACGTTTACACAGTTGGGTGCTGGGGACAAGATTGTTATCAGGCGGGTCTGGGTGGGGGTGGGGGCTGGGTGGATTGGGACTCAATAAGGGTAGTCCTGACAGTGGAATGACCTGGCAAGGTACGAGAGCCAACGCCATAGGGTCTAGAGCCAATTCTGGGGAAATGTGACCACTTCCAGGTGAGAGCTGGCAAAGACCTTCACAGCTGACATTAGGTAAATCAGCACAAACTAGAAAGTCAAAGTGCGGAAACTCCCACTTCCTAGACAGTGAGGATTGGAATTCTTATTCGGACTGCTTTTCAGGATACTTGTTGGAGCATTCTACTCTTCAATCTTGCAGCCATTGTAAGGCATCCCGTCACAAAAAATTCTTGTTAACCTGCAGTCGCATAATCTGGTGGATAATCCCTATCCTATAAAACCATAAAATATAGGATAATCCTGATCTCATAAAACCATAAGATTTAGGAGCAGAATTAGGCCACTCAGCCCATCAAGTGTAATCTGCCATGTAATCATGGCTGATGTGTTTTTCAACCCCATTCTCCTGCCTTCTCGATGAACCCTTGATCCCTTTGCTAATCAGCAACTTATCTGTGTCTGTCTTAAATATCTCGATGACTTGACCTCCACAGCCTTCTGTGGCAGTAACTTCCACAGAACGACCACCCTCCAGCTCAGTTCTAAAGGAATATCCCTTCACTTTGATGCTGTGCCCCTGGGTCCGAGTCTCTACTACTAGTGGAAACATTTTCTCCAGATCCACTCTGTCTAGGCCTCTTGATTATCTCCAAGTTTCAAACAGATCCCCACTCATCCTTCTAAACTCCATCCAGTAAAGACCCAAAGTCCTCATCTGCTCCTCGTATGACAAGCCCTTCATTCCCAAGACCATTCTTGTCAACCTCCTCTGGACTCCTTCCAAGGCCAGCACATTCTTGCTTAGATATGGGACCCAAAACTGCTCTCAATATTCCAAATGCAGCCTGACCAGGGCCTTATACAGTCTTAGCAGTGCATCTGTACTCTTGTATCCTAACCTCCACCAAATGGAGGCTAATGTTGGCCTTCCTACCTGCCAACTGAACCTGCATGTTAACCTTAAGAGAATCCTGAACTAGGACTCCTAAGTCCCTTTGTGTTTCAGTTTCAGAAGCCTTTTTCCATTTAGAAAATAGTCTATGCCTCTATTCTTCCTACTAAAGTGCATAACCTCACCTTTTCAAATTATATTCCATTTGCCACCTCTCAACCCACAGTTCTAGCCTGTCCAAGACCTTTTATGGCCTCTCAACTTCCTCAAAGTTACCTGTCCATCCATCTATCTTGGTGTATCATTTGTAAACTTAGCAACAATGCCCTCAGTTTCTTCACCCAGTTCATTAATGTATAAAGTCAACAGTTGTGGTTCCCCACACTGACCCTGGCCGAACTCCACTAACCACTGGTTGCTATCCTGAAAAAGACCCCTTTATCCCCACTCTCTGCCTTCTGCAGTCAGCCAATTCTTTATCCATGCCAGTATCTTGCCCCTAAGACCATGCGCTGTTATCTTATTTAGCAGCTTCCTGTGCAACACCTTGTCAAAGGCCTTCTGGAAATCCAAACAGATCACATCTACTGGTTCTCCTTTGTCTAACTTTCTGTTACCTCCTCAGAGAATTCTAACAGATTTGTCAGGCATGATCTCCCTTTGACAAAGCCGTGCTGACTCAGCCTCATTTTACCATGCACTTCCAAATAGTCCGCAATCTCATCCTTAATTATGGAATCCAAAATCTGAACAACCAAGGTCAGGCTAACCGGCCTGTCTTCTGCCTTTCTCCCTTTTTAAGCAAGTGTGCTACATTAATCATTTTCCAATCCTCTGGGGCCCTCCCTGACTCCAGCGATTCCTGAAAGATGACCACTAATGTTTCCACAATCTCCTCAGTTATCTCCTTCAGAACTCTAGGGTGCGGTCCATTTGGTCTGAGTGATTTATCCATCTTCAGATATTTCAGCTTCCCCAGCATCTTCTCCTTAGGGATGGCCACTATACTCACCTCTGCCCTCTGACAGTTAGCTTGAAATAGCTACAGTGGTTGATAGCAGTCAGCTTACTGGACATTAACAAAGTTACTGGAAAAGATCAGCAGGTCTGGCAGCATCTGTGAAGGAAAAAACAGAGTTAACATTTTGGGATTGGTGATCCTTCCTCAGCACTCAACTTTTCCAGCAACTTTGTTTTTGTTCCTGATTTACAGCACTCGCAGTTCTTTCGGTTTTTATTTAGCTACTCTGGACATTACCTAAGTAACGCAGCTAGCATCTAAGCTTTGGCAAACATAGGAAAAGACTGGATTAATCTAACTGGCGATGTTAAAGGTAGTGATCGTTGTGGAACAGAATGCATAACTTAGTCTGCGGGATTGAAGTCATTTTTAACTTACACAACTTAACCATTTCTGTTAACATAAAACGAAAAAGAGTGGCTAAAGTAAACATTGGCCCTTTAGAGCATGAGAAGGGGAATTTAGTTATGGGATATGATGAAATGGCCGAGGCATTAAACAGGTATTTTGTATCGGTCTTCACAGTGGAGGACACTAATAACATGCCAGTAATTGACAAAGAGACGAAGGTAGGTGAGGACCTGGAAACAACCATAATTACGGAAGAGGTAGTGTTGGGCAAGCTAATGGAGCTAAGGATTGATAAGTCTCCTGGCCCTGATGGAATGCATCCCAGGGTACTAAAAGAGATGGCGGGAGAAATAGCAGGTGCACTGGCAGTAATTTTCCAAAATTCGCTGGACTCTGGGGCAGTCCCAGCAGATTGGAAAACAGCAAATGTGACGCCATTGTTTAAAAAGGGAAGTAGACAAAAGATGGGGAATTATAGACAGGTTAGCTTAACCTCTGTAGTGGGGAAGATGCTTGAGTCTATTATCAAGGAAGAAATAGCAAGGCAAGTTGATAGAAATTGTCCCGTTGGGCAGACGCAGCATGGGTTCATGAAGGACAGGTCATGCTTGACAAATCTTTTGAAATTCTATGAAGACATTATGAGTGAGGTGGACAATGGGAACCCAGTGGATGTGGTGTACCTAGACTTCCAAAAGGCCTTTGACAAGATGCCGCACAAGAGGCTACTGCATAAGATAAGGATGCATAGCGTTAAGGGTAAAGTATTAGCATGGATACAGGATTGGTTGACTAACAGGAAGCAAAGAGTGGGGATAAATGAGTGCTATTCTAGCTGGCAGTCAGTGACTAGTGGTGTGCCTCAGGGATCGGTGTTGGGACCGCAATTATTTACAATTTATATAGATGAGTTGGAGTTGGGGACCACGTGTAGGGTGTCAAAGTTTGCAGATGACACTAAGATGAGTGGCAGAGCAAAGTGTGCAGAGGACTGTGAAACTTTGCAGAGGAACATAGATACATTGAGTGAGTGGGCAAAGGTCTGGCAGATGGAATACAATGTAAATAAATGTGAAGTCATACATTTTGGTAGGAGTAATAGTAAAAAGGATTATTACTTGAATGGTAAAAAGTTGCAGCATGCTGCTATGCAGAGGGATCTGGGTGTCCTTGTGCATGAATCACAGAAGGTAGGTCTGCAGGTACAACAAGTAATTAGGAAGGCAAATGGAATTTTGTCCTTCATTGCTAAAGGGATTGAAATAAAAAGCAGAGAGGTTATGTTGCAGCTGTACAAGGTGCTGGTGAGGCCAAACCTGGAGTACTGTGTGCAGTTTTGGTCTCCTTACTTGAGAAAGGATGTACTGGCACTGGAGGGGGTGCAAAGGAGGTTCACTAGGTTGATTCCGGAGTTGAGGGAGTTGGCTTATGAGGAGAGACTGAGTAGATTGGGATTATATTCATTGGCATTCAGAAGATTGAGGGGGGATCTTATAGAAACATATAAAATTATGAAGGGAATAGATAAGATAGAAGTAGAGAGGATGTTTCCACTGGCAGGTGAAACTAGGACAAGAGGGCATAGCCTCAAGATTAGAGGCAGCAGATTTAGGACTGAACTGAGAAGGAATTTCTTCACCCAGAGGGTTGTTAATCTATGGAATTCCTTGCCCAGTGAAGTAGTTGACGCTACTTCAGTAAATGTTTCTTAAAAAAAGGTAGATTTTTTTTGAACAATAAAGGAATTAAGGGATACGGTGAGAACGCGGGTAAGTGCATCTGAGTCCATGAAAGGATCAACCATGATCTTATTGAATGGCGGAGCAGGTCGAAGGGCCAGACGGCCTACTCCTGCTCCTAGTTCTTATGTTCTTATGTTGTGATTAAAACAAGGTCAGCCAGGTGGACCTCATATAATATGAGTTGCCCTATTTGGGCTGTTAATCTGGTACAATCAGGGAGCCCTGGCTGACAGATAAAAGCAGGAATGTCAGACATTCTGACATTCTGGATGCTGACTCTGAGGGAGCTAAATCAGTGTCAAGGACTTCCCATGTGTAA